CACCCATGGCTACATGTGATCCTTGAATTTTTGTTAATGATGTTTTAAGGGAAACGTTGCCAATAATTTCGTAACACTTTAATATCTACAAAGAAAATAGTTTTTATGCATCAGACATAGCCATATTTTTTATTAATTCTTTCTATAATGCTTTCACTGAGAACAGCCTAAACTGTTTTCCAAACTTCCGAAACATCTGCATGGACTAGGACAAGATATAATATAGCAGCAAGTAGCTCCAAAATTGAATCCAGGTGCCTTTGTGCTCCCCACATACACAATGACCAACTGATTAAAACCCTAAGAGACAGGACAGTTCAGTGCTCTAATCTGCCTGTGAATATGTAGAACTGCATCTCCAAATGTCCTAAGACCAAGTAACTGGCTATTTTAGTGAGATGGGACCCTGTGCTCCCCTACATTTGAGCCACTAAGCACAGAATTCAAAATTCATTTTAGAAAACAGCTCATGGAGGAAGGCATTTGTACATCTGCATTTACTTAGGAGTGGGGAGATGCACAACCTGGTTTCTGCTCCTGCAACTGCTGACATATTTTCTTGCTTTTCTTGTTGTATACATACAAAATGGGAAACTAGCTCCATCACGTTAACTATTTTTGTCTTTATATTTTCTTTATATTTTACTATTTTCAAGAAGCCAACCTTATCAGTGTGTGTTCATGGCAGTCTCTAAAGGCCTCAGTGGAATTCCTTAGGCTGTTCAATTGTATTAAAACACAGACAACGCTATACTTTTACACAGATATTTTGGATGCTTGGAAACTCTCCAGTTACCAAGTGCTGTGCTTATGGCATCAAGGCAATGCCAGGCTTACTGGATCTGACCTTTAGTTCTTTAAGAAAAGTAATTGCAAGTGGGGGCTAAGGAAGTTAAGCCTGCCATACACTTCAAGGAGCAATATTACATGTTGGAAAGATTTGCACTGTTCTCAACACTTAAAAACATCCAGTACGCTTGTTGCAATGTCAAGTGAGGACGCCCCTTTGACTCAGATACAGCGCCAGAGTTTTGAAATATGCTCGAGTATTTTGAATTTGAATAATATTCTCCTTGCTGAGAGGTTTTAGTTCCAGCCATAGATGCTAAAACATGCCTGAAATATGTATGAAATTTGAAGTTATGCCACTATACAGAAGAGAATTAAAGATTCATTCAGCAAGAGAGAACAAAAAAAGAAGGAACTTTCTTTGTATTCTTTAAACAGTTGAATTGTACTGCGATATTTAACATACATATATATATCATATATATGCATTTGCACATTACATATATGTTAAATATATAATGTGCACATGGTTTTATACATACACATATATATGTACATTATGCATATATATTTATAATTTACCCATATATGTGTATCTATATTAAATATATATATTTGAAAGATACAGCAAAAACTCTAATGTCAGCCAGAAAAAAAGGGCAGGTTAAGCTAGAAAAAGTGCTTGTTTTATGAAAAAAAAAATTGCAATTCACAGCATTTTATGAACGCTGTACAAATTACCAGATACCATAGACTGCATTTCTGGACCTGAATGGTACTAAAAGTTGCAACCAAGGGCAAATATAAAGACACATATTTACAATGCAAAGGCTTAGTCAGTATTATAAGCAATATGGCAATCTGCATAGCAGAAGATATAATGCTTTGTAATGTGATTTTTACTTTACATATCAATTTCTACACACATGAACAAGCTCAAATACAGCCCCATTAATTTCAATCACTGTAAAAAGGAAGAGAAAAACATAGTAAATATACTGATAGATTTAACAAGGATTAATGCATATCAATGTATTTATGCACTGACACATTTACCTTATTTACTGAGCGGCAATATTTTATAATATAATTTATTTATAAATTTAAAATACAATCTTTATTATAAAGATATCACTAAAGCATTTAAAAAGGTACCAGAAATGAGCTGACAAGATTTTTCCCGAAGCTTCACGTGCTACTTCCATCAAATACCACAGCCTGAAATTGTACGTACTAGGTTTCTGGCCTTCACTGGGCTCCCGTGATGCCAGGGAGCAAGCGAATGTCAAGGACAAGAGAAAGGCCCACAAAAAACTGGCCAAAGTCCATGCTCAGGTGCAGGAGAAGAGGAGAGAAAGAAGGGCAAAAAGAGCAAGAACTGAGCATCACAGAGAAGTTTGCAGGTCCTGCACGACATGCCCCCAGGTCTGGGATGGAAACCAGTGGTCTTGAGTTTCATTATTCTGGAGGAAGAGGCTAAGACACCTCCTGGAAAAAAACAGCACGCCCCATGTCTGCACTGGGGAAAGAGAACTGCCTATCCCGGCCAGGTATTCCAGCAGCTCAGCTAGGTGATGATGGGCACAGAGAGCTTAAGCTCAGGTCTGGTCCTGACAGGTACCGAGTGCCATATGTGCAGTCCTTTGTGTTTTGGAAAAACCAAGACTTGTGAGCACACACCCATACACACCAACATCCTTCCTATGGTTTGGATAGCAAGTGGATGTCCTGGTGTTCGATGCGAAGCACCACTAACAACCAGCCAAATGGCACTGGAGTCACTGGAGCTCTGTTATGGACATGGAAAGCAGAGTATCTTGCAAATACTCTGCAAAACGAAGTTCTAGATGTTTCAGAGCAGAACATCCAAAACGACCAAATCATCTCTTTCACATTGTTTCAGTCGTGTTAGAAAATAAAGACAATACAAACTTCCTGCTCCAGAGTACCACAGGGTACTAGGACCCCTTTACACTACAATGATGTTGGGATGAGCAGTGTGGAAAAGCTCCTAAGGAAGCAGGATTCTAATGCTTTAGAGTATGCACTAAATACAGCACCCGATCATAAGTAACTGAAATGAGGCTTACACTGAATGAATAAAACATACTGAGATCAAATTGCTAATAATTATATTAAAGCATTTTTGAAAAAGGTATGATACTTCTAGTATTCCTTGACTTTTGCAAACATGGTCCTTTAAACTTAATAATATCCTCCAAAGGTAGCTTTTGTGTAGGATAATATAATAGATGGAAATAATAGAACAGATGGACTCCACACAATGAATCTTAATAATATATTACATATATTACTTTGTGCTTACATGCTTATCTAAAGAACCACAAATCTTCCGGTGCTATATAAATATTTAATAATGATAATATAGAATATACTCATCTAACATTGTATCTGGGCATTTTACAACTTTATACTAAACCGAGCTTCCTTTAGTAACGTGGCAGCTCTCTTGGATTCACTGAGCCTATTCATGTGAGTAAGCAATTAGTACTTGCCTTCACTAAGTTTATATTTGATCCTTTCTATACTAGAGAAAAACATAACATTATGGGGAGAATTTGAATAAGTGCTTAAAAGTAAAGAAAATGCTTCAATGCTTTTCTGACTAAGAGCAGATTTAAACATGTGCACAAATGGCTTCATGCATGGAACTGATGAAAAAACTTAAAAATAATTTTCAAAGAACAAACTCGATAAAATATCATGAAGATACTTTTTTTCTTTTTTTCATAGAAAATAAAAATTAAGTAAAATTCTTGGGTCTGTTATATTTCTCTTTTCAAAAAGAAGCCATTTAGAGTTTTATGTAAACAGTCCATGATGTGCTGAATAATGGTATCTGAGCTATTTTCACTACTGAAGAGTTGGCTTCATGTCTCCAAAATGTATTGGAATATTTTGAGCCTGTTTGACCTATCTTTTGCCAAAAATTAGTCTATTTTAAATAAACTGGTATCTGTGCAGAATGGAACCTTGATAAAGCATCACCACTTGGAAAATTCCTTTCTAAAGACAATGATTATTTCTAGAACTATACAGCCATAGGACAATATAGGTATTATAGGTATCCTGTCCCTACCTTAACTAATGGTGTTTATGACGGTAGTTACAAATTTAAAATGCATGATACATCACACAAGAAATGAAAGAGATAACACTCATATTTCCAATTTTGAGATTCAGCACAGACACTAAGTACTACGATAATGTAGAAAGATGTATGAAAGGTCTTTTCATAAGTAATCATATATAATCTTTCTACTGAAAATGTGTAAAACCTCATGTAATACAGGGACTAGTAGAGTGCAAAACTAAATTAATCTCCCAATACACTTAAAACTAAGAAAAAGTTCTTTTGTCACCATATATGTGTATTCAAGTGTCACCATCTTTACTTCTAATACTAGTTTTATTTATGTAAGAGTAAAACATATCTAACTTTGACCTTATAAACACACACATTTCCGTGAGAGATGCAGAACAGAAGGGATTCTAGCTAATACGATTCTGAAGTTGCTCCACTTCTATTTCACATTCACACATACAGTAATTTCACAGTTTTCTGCAGGCTTTAAAGAGCCCATTATGAAATCATGGGCACTATGAATGTTTGTATAAATCAATACCTAAAGTTGCTACCGGTATCAGGGATACACTGTATGTCCCACTCTAAAAGCCACAACATGACCTATATTGTGCTCATACAAACTGCTTGCTCAATGTAAAATGAAAATCCACGTTTTCATGTGACAATTCGCTATGTGGACTGAGCTTGAGTTTTCTTTTCTGCATTGTGATTTATTTATTTATCAGTGTTTAAAAAGAAACCTAGGTATTGTGTATGTGATACGATTTTCCTCTTATAGATAGACTGGTTCTTCCCAGGCATGGCACTTCTTTGGTACACTGTGGTGTTTTACAGGCATATCCTTCCTTTTTTGAATGTGATGATACCCCCCGCCTGGAGAAGTGCTGTCACTAAGAACAGACGGGAAAAGAAATCTTTTCACTGAGAGATGGATGTTTTTATTGAGTATTTACACATAGAATGGGTATCCTGAGTTTAAGGTGAGAACAAACAAGGCTATCTGCGCTAAATGCTGTAGTGCTCAGCACAATATAAATGCTGAAAATGGTTTGCAATATGTCACTATATATATATGTGTATGTATATATATATTATGTGTTACCTTGGATACAAGGCTTGCTCTGTAGGCAGCTAACTGCTTCAGATATTCCTTCTTGGCAGCTTCAGTTTTCTTTTTGTATACCTAAAAACAAAGAGTGTCACATTGGTAAATTAATCTGGTTTTGTTTTTATATATCACCGGTGTGTCTCATGCATCTTCATAAAGCCTTTCTAAGTAAACAGCCTTTCCTCCTCATTTTGCTTAAAGAGTGAAATAATAAACATCAAATATTTTAAAGAAAATACTGTTCCTACTGTGAAGCACCCTTTAGCTACCCAGCAGTACTGAAAAAGCAATATCCCCCCTAGCATTAACATTAACTGTTCAAATTGAAATTGGGTGTACTTGCAAATGGGACCTTCAGGGTGCAGGGGGGAAGGCAGATGGAAGCCTCTTCACTGACTACCACTCATGAGACAACTTATAACCCTCTGGGAAAGGTGAAAATGTTGGTAGAAAGACAAATCAGCCGAGAGGCTTTCTCTCTTCCTTGGATAAACTGTTGGGGGCAGCCAAAGAAGCTTCATGGAGCGCTAAGAATAATAAATGTTAGTCATTATTCCAGTCTTGATCCCATATCACTCTAATTAACTTCTTAAGAGCGTGGATCTATTCCTGTACATTTCTCTCAACTCACCAAACTATCTTAAAAGTGGCATGTGCACAATCTCATAATAGCTAAGAGAGCTTCAAGAGTCACTTCAATTTTGCCCAAATTTCAAGATCAAAAATGATCTGCAAGGTCAGAAGGACCTAATAGTGCTGTAGTAACATGATGTTAGAAAGGCAAAGGTAGATATTTAGGGTTGAGAGTTCCCAAGAGAATAACCCATTTCTGACCTGTGCAGCCAAGCTAATGAATTGCTGTCAGCAATGTCAGTGACAGATTTTGGAAAAACCCAGCACTTGTAAATACTACCATGAGTTTCTCACTACTTCATGGCTTTAATTATATATTTATTTACTTAAGGTTACATTTTTGCAGTCATACAAGCATTGTGGCTTCATGTAACTAAGCAGAATTGATCCCCAACCTTGCTTGATGCGGAAAAAAAAAAACCAAAAAAAACAAAAACAGGTGGAAGGCTAAAAAGGGAGATCAATAAAGGGAGAGAAACATTACTTTCTTATTCCTGCTAAATTTGACATTTTTTTTTTTAGTTAGACACACAACCAGGGCATTGATTTATATTTTCAAGGACATTTGGGATTTTCAATATTATGCAAAATGTAACACAACTTCTGAGTCCATGCTGCCCATTTCTTCAGGAAAATGCAAGCCCTTGGCAACTGGAAAACACCTCCAGGAGGTAACAACAACCTGCCTTCCCTTACCACTCAACCTAGTCATTTGGGCTATTGATTAAAAGGCAAAAGATGGCCAAAGCAATTTATGACAATTTAGCAATGTTCTCATGAGTTCTCCAGGTGAAAAACACACACATATATGCACATCCTCACCAGAAGGATAGACTTCATGAAACTTTGATCTCTTTTGATCGTCGTAATCTCCAATAAAAACAGAGTGGTTTCATCATGGAGAAGATCTAGAAGCACTGATGGAGCACACAGAGGACAGTGTGATCCCAAAGCACCAAGTGAGAGCAGCAGGGTTAGGCTGGAAGGATCTGGTAGAGCATCATTCTTATATAGAATGTGCTTGGGGAACTACTTTTGTTTCACCAGGGCTTTGCTTTCAGAGATGGAACAATCCTCAGATACGGGCTGGCAACACTCAGAGGTTGCCTAAAAGGATTAAAGATTTTGCTTCCCAGGGAAGCAAAAGATCACAGTGGAAGCAGGGAAATCTTAGGCTTCTAAAATTGTAGAAAAAAAAGATTCATTTTAGCTGTGCAACTATATATATGTAGCCTTGTAATTTCTCCAGATTAAGATAAATATATACTCTTGGATGACCTCCTATTGTTTTGCAAAAAAAAAAAAATAGTAGCAACTTACTTTTTAAACTGTAATAGTTTGTGGTTATTAGGGAAATGTAATGTTTATTTAGAAAATGAATCGAAAATTAGTCAACAATCTGTTTCCTGGCTGCTAGAATGAATTTAGCTTGACCTACAGAACAAAGACTAATTTATACTGCTTTGTATTTTGCAATACTTCTGCATCACTCTGATAGCCAGCTTAAAAAACACAGTGGAACAAAGAATTTTACACAGAATAATGATCTTTAAAAGATCATGCACCTTCTGCTTCCAGCTTTTACTTTGCATTGCACAAATATAAAAAATATACAGTCCTACTGTGCTTTTACAGTTGCAGTGCATTGAAAGAGTCCTCTGGGACCTGACTTTTCCCTCAAATAGTCCTATTGCACAAGGTTAACTCAATAATACAAAGCGAACAACAGTGCTGTAAATCCCTACCTAAAGCATTGCTACTTTACATGAATGTCACCATCTAGCCTGCCTTTAATTATTCCAGATCTATGTATCTACCACATTCAGCCTGTCATTGTTTTGCCCTCTCTTTTTTCATCTTCTCATGAGCCAATAATGTTAAAACAGTATTGCTTTTTCACAGGGGTGTTTACATTAACCAGGTAATTGGAAGTTGTTATGATGCACATTTCGTCACAGCATAGGGAGAGGTTTGGTCACCCCGCTCAGCAGCTCTGGTGTTCTGGATTGCATCCAGATTGCATACTTGTCCAGAGGGCTCCCTCCCTCCTAGGGTATCTATAAGGCAGATGAGGCCAACAGTTGGGGTGCTCCCTGTGTGTATCTTGACACTGTTGTCCTTTGCAAGAAGTCCACTTTTAGGCAACATCCAAAGGGACTGATGATCCTCACATTAGTGTTGGAAAAACTGCTTGGAACTGGTTTACACTAAAAATTAGGATAGTTTCAGAATATACAGGGAGCTATTCCTTCTCATCAGCAGCAACAAGGTCCAGTTGTCAGAACTCTTCTCTCAACGTGAACGAATGTAGCCCTAGAAGTGGGGACCCGTTCAGTGCCTTCAAGCTAGACAAGACTTCTGCTGGAGGCTGAAGAAAGCACGAGCGAGGAGCGTCGCCAGCCTTTGGAGCAGCACTTGCAACAGGCCAGAGCAAGTCTGCAGCCCCTCCTGTGCTACCTTTCACAGCTGTGAGAGCTTTCAGCCCTTGAGCTCAAATAGTTTTGTGTTGTAATAACAGAGTTGCTACCTTGCAGCTGTTCTGGGGAGGTAAAAGGCTTGTGTCATCACTCAAGTGTGCCCCAGCCAAAAGCTTAAGATATTCTATGTTCCTTGCTTAAGACTGTGCTGAAACCTGTACTCTCCAATAACATATTTTTCCTGTATCAAGAAGCAGGTTTATAAGCTGTTGCTTATTTACAATGTATATTGGTGATATCTGTTTTTATTTTTAACACCTCAGAAATCTCATATAGGTCCTTTTCCTCTCCTCCCTCAAGCAAGCAATAATTATTAAGTAACTTGACAGGAGCACATACTTATGGAATTAAGTCATTTCTAGCTTGCTTTAATTCAATTAACATGATAATTGAATGTCAACTGATTGTCATGCAGGCAGTAAAGGCCCATTCTGATTCACCAGCAGATTTGT